ACCAAAAGTCAGCCGACCCCGGTGGTTTCAACTTCGGAAAATGCGCCGGAAAGGGAAAGCAACCACCCCTGGTGGTTAAAAACATCGATTTTGTAACCCTCACCGAAAAAAATGCGTTCGTGCCACGTCAAGCCGACGTACAAAATCATCCGATTTGGTCTCAAAATGAACCAAGTACAAAAACATCTGAAGCAGTGCGGGTATGAATATTACATGCACGACAAACCAAATGAATGACCCTACCGGGTAGTGCTTCGTGGTCTTCCGCTGGTTGACCCAAAAGCGCTGCTGGAACGTTTGAAGAAGGAACACAACCTCATCGGCCAGGTGGCTCACATCATCAAAAGGAAGGGGGACTGTGCAAACCTCGATGAATCGTTCTACTTGAGACGTGAAGCACGTTGCGCACATCATCGTACGGTGAGAAGCCTACCGCAACAAGCGAGCTGTGACGAAACCCACGCTACCGAGAAGTGCTCGACAAAGAGTGCACCAGCGAAACGATGTGCCACTGCGACGGCGCTCATCCGGCTACAGATCGTAGCTGCCCCAAGCGTGCCGAATACATACGGGCTCGACAACAAGCAACACCCTCGAACCAGCCAGGTCGGAAGGAAGTCAGAAAGGGTTCAACTGCACCTGCGCTGACTATGAAGGATTTTTCTGCGCTACCGAATAGCTCGGTACCCGCCGGAGCATCAAATTTTGTGAGCTCACAGTCCGCAGTCAACGCCGGGATCAACCAACATAAGCATGAACGTATGTAGTATCGATCCTCGCACCAGAGCGGGTATAAATGTTCCATCAGCGGATTCATCTCCCGAGCAAAGCGAAGAGGTGCTCTAGAGTTCTGCCCAGCTGTGGTTCATCTTTACCGAGCTCTGCAATCGTTTGAAGCAGTGCCAGACCCGTTCGGACCAGGTCAAGGTCCTAGAATACATGGTATGCCAATACGGGGTCAACTGAGCCCCACAGTATCCGAATTTACAATTGGAACGCTCGCTCTATAAGAGCGAAAAAGATTGAGTTGAGCAACTTCCTTGCCCAACAAAGCATCGACGTGGGAGTTATCACCGAAACCCGGCTTAACACAGCAATTTCTCACTCCCAGCTCACATCGTTATCGGGCTAGATCGCCCCAACTCAAGTGGTGGCGGTTTGCCTGACATCACCAAGTATGGCATTCGCTATGAAATCCTACCACATCCGAAAACAAGCATCATTGAAGCAATCGGCGTTAAAATACACGCTCTTCATGGACACATCACGCTGTTTGCCGTCTACATACCTCGGCAATGTGTAGACAGTAATGGCACATCCAAAATCTTAGCGGAAGATCTCCAAAAGCTCACCAACAACAGAACCGGCTTTATGGTGGCCGGAGAACTCAATGCGCGCCATACCCTGTGGCAAAATCACAACTGCATCAAAAAACGGTGTCCTCCTGGCAGACCACCTCAGCTCAGGTACGTGTATCATCCACTTTGGGTACGAAACAACGTTCCTCTCCCCAGCTGGAATAACATCCACCTTCGACGTGTTCCTGTCCGACCTGGCACTCTCGAAACCAGTCACCTATCATGGACTGAGCTCTAACCACTACCCGGTAGTATGTGAACTAAATTTCAACCCAACAACAGCGTCGGTGACGATGAGACGAGATTACCATCGGATCTTCAGGGTGGTTTTCAGACGCCTGATGGACTCACGACTTCCCGAAAATATGGATATGCCATCCATCGAAGCCATCGACAACAAACTGGAAGTATTCGAGGAAATTGTGCACACTACAGAACAAGCTAGCATCCGCTGGGTACCGGTGAGGCGACAATTCACCATGATTGATACCTACACCCGGCAGCTTATGCAGCAACGAAACACCGTCAGGCGAATATTCCAGTGAACCAGATGCCTCCTGAAAAAAACAACAAGTCTCTCTCCTCAACTGCCTGATTAGGGATTGAATGATGTTGATCAGGAACCAGCAGTTCTCCACCAGCATCGAACAACTGATCGACTACTCGAGGCCGTTCTGGAAGGTGGCCAAAATTATGAAGAAAAGGCCAACAATAGTTCCTCCATTGAAAGACGACGCCGGAGGCATATCGGTGCCCCCATCGGAGAAGGCCAACGCTATCGCCAACAAACACATCGAAGCCCACAACATCGGTGCAGGCATGGTGAGTCCCCACGAAGATACAAATCAACCACCTTGACGAGCAAGTCGACGATGCTCCATTCATCGGTCAAGTGACCAAAAATGAGGTACGTGCAGCAGTGATGCGTGGCAAGAACATGAAGGCACCCGGCAACGACGCTATCTTCAATCTGGTTCTGAAGAAGCTCTCCAGCAAAGCATTCCGATTCCTGGCAGCAATCTTTAATAGATGCTCCCAGCTAAGCTACTTCCCGACCAGATGGAAGACAGATAAAGTCATCCCTATTCCTAAACCTGGAAATGATCCAACTGCTCCATCAACCTACAGGCCCATCACGTTGCTATCAGCAGTCAGCAAAATATTCGAACAGCTTATTCTCCAGCATCTGATGGAACACGTCGAAGAACACCACAAGAACGGAGCAATTCGGTTTTCGGAAGGGGCATTCTACCGTAAATCAACTAGTCCGAGTTGAGAACACCACCCAACGGAACAAGTCACTCTCTAACAACCCAGCCATGGTACTCCTGGATGTGGAAAAGGCCTTCGACAACGTGTGGCACGATGGACTTGTCCATAAGATGGTGCAGGCGAACTTCCCAAAATACCTCACGAGAATGGTAAGAAACTATTTGATAAATCGAACGTTTCGAGTACATCTTTCAGATGCCACCTCAGAACTTCACGAGGTTCCAGTGGGGATGCCTCAAGGCAGCCTCATCGGGCCCATCCTATAAAACATTTACACCTCCGACGTTCCACAACTCCCTGCTGGCTGCAGCCTGGCGCTGTACGTAGATGACAGTGCCATCATGGCCAACGGTTGGACTCCCATGCACTAACGGTCTCGGCTTCAACAAGGTGTCTCGTACCTGACCAGCAGGAAAATCAAAGTGAACGAAACCAAGAGTCAAGCCATGCTCTTCCGACTTCAACCATCACCAAAGCTACTACCAGCATTTTCGAGAAAAACTAGGACTGCCCATTAAATAAGTACGTTTGGTTTCGTTGGGTATTTTCTCTTGGTAATTTAGGTAGAAGTAGTTTAGAGTGTATTGTTTGCACTGTATTTGTATCGCTGTCAGGGACATCGGAAAACCACTCGGAATCGTGCAGTCAACGGTGAGTTGTGTTATTAAACGTTACTACGAAACTCTGAGCATCGAACGGAAGGAGAAATGCGGTGAGAATGGATGTTCTATTAGTGGTCACGATCAAAAGCGTGTCGTGAAAACGTTTAAGCGGAATCCCAATGCTTCGGTCAAGGATGTGGTCAAAAAGCTGAATCTGTCCAAGTCTTTCGTTCAGAGAGCCAAGGACCGGGAGGGACTGCATACGTACACACATAATCTAGCTCGGTAAAATTTCCAACAGCCGATTACCTCGGCTGGTTATTGATTAGCTGAGTATCGGCAATTGTTTTACTGAATCTCAGCAAAATAAATTGCAGAACTACTCGGTTGTTGGCATCCCGGCGAAAAAATTTAAGTGTGTACAAAGTGCAGAAGGTTCCAAATCGTGACGAACGACAAAATACGGTGGGAAAGTCACGGGCCCAGAAACTGTATACCCAGATGCTGACGAAGCCTCATTGTCTCATCATGAATGATGAGAATTACTCCAAGGCGGACTTCCAGCAGCTTCCGGGGCGCTACTGTTCTTCACCGCCCAGCACAAGTTTGATGTTCCGAAGGAAGTAAGGAAACAGAAACATTCAAAGTTTGCTAAGAAATACATGATTTGGCAAGCGATCTGCTCATATGGCAAACGGAGTGCGCCGCTCGGGACTACCGGGACTGTGAACGGGGAGATCGACCTCAAGGAGTGTCTACAGAAGCGTCTGCTTCCTCTGTTGAAGCAACACGAAGGCCCTACGATCTGCTTTGGAGTGGTACGAAGCCAACGGGGTCACTTTCGTACCCAAGGACATCAACCCAACCCCCCCAACGCACCGGAACTAAGGCCCATCGAAATGGGCTATAATGAAGCAGGCACTACGAAAGCATCCCAAGGAGGTCAAATCTAAGGAAGGCATGATGAAAAAGTGGGCTCCCGTACAGAAGAAGCTGCAGCCAGATGTTGTACAGAAACAAATGAGTGGAGTTAAGCGTAAGGTGTGAGCGTACGGTTATGGTATTGAAGTATAATGAAATAGACATGCCAAGCTTATTAATGGGTTATATTTTATTGTCTGAAAGTTTGAAAAGGATCGGTCAACTAGGTAATTTTCTACAGCGTTTTTTCCGTGATGCAATTTGATGTGGGACACCTTGTGGTCTAAGCAAATGTATGGGAAATTTTGATGCTTCCAATTTTAGTTAAATTTCTTAGTTTTCCAAACTCGTTGCGGGCCGCATTAAATGAGGTAGCAATCCGGCCCGCAGGCCGTACGTTGGGCAGGCCTGAGCTAAATCGATCTAGATCACCATAATATCCATATTATTTTTTTCATATTGCCTGAAAGCCTTTCGAAATAAAGCATGCAGACCTAATAAAACAAAAATTGGGCAATTGAGGGTTAATTGTCTTATTTCAAGTGCCATATTCTAAAACTAAGAAATGTGTAGAACAATTTTCATTAAGTTATCACCAGTTACTTGATAAACAAAATTATGTCGAAAGAATCTGGTTTCGATTACTAGGGGAACAGTGGTACATTGAATTCCGCGTCCAGATTTATCAGAAGGCTGAATTTAAGTCAAATCTCCGTAGCCAAAAGTCCATTCGGGCCTAACGTCCTTGATTTATGATACTTAGAGCACTAATGACCGGATTCAAATTAATTTCAATTGACTCACAAACAGCAGAACGAAAAAATGCCTTGAATTAAATCACAATTACCTCATACTGGCTATCACTAGCGGCCAACGTTCGATTGCTTTTTGCGGTCCAATCCCGTTCGCCCAAAATGCCACCGCAAAAGGGTTTGCGTGCGTTGGTAAGCCGGAACAACGGTTTCCCAGAGGTAGCAGCAGTACGCAAAAAAAAACAGAAGGCAACGCAAATAAATTATCGATTTTAACCTTGCACGCACATCCCTTGCTTCGTGGTTTTTAGGCTTACCGCGCTTGATTTTCCTGCGAAAGGCATCCTTTGAAGCAATTTCCCATAGTTTGCAAGTGGAGCACACATGTACACTCAGATTTATTGAGTGGGACCTAGACCGGAGGCCCCCTAAAGTGGATACTCTTTCGATGGAAGGTTTGCGGTCGTCAGTGCAGATGATGGATTGCGTTGTGGCCAATGAATCGGCATCATTTTCCACGGCGAACTGCAGCAGTCGATCTGCCCTACCCGAATTTGCTCTATTGTCGATAAACTATTGAAAACTAACTCACTATCTGCTACCCATTTAGAACACATTAAAAGCTTAAAAACTGCAAACTGTGATGCTTCTTGCCTTCGCTTTCACATTTTCCACCACATTTAATGACTAAACTAAACGATTCCGATATGTACAGAGCATAAAAATGGATCAACAAATTGCAACTCAGTCTCAACAAAAACCGCGATATGAATCAATAAAGGAAAAGTTTTGACTTTTGATTCTGCTCTCCTTGGTGACGGGCAGCACACTCGATGTTGGGGTTCCACGGTGAGGGAGGGACTGGGTTGTAATGAAAAACATACACATTTGAGGCACTTTGTGTGCCTGGGGGTGGTGAGTAATTGGGAAGCTATGTGAAAATCAGCCAACGCTGACAGGCAACAGCTGATTGACGGGGCGAGGGAAAGCGCTTGCGCAGATATTTGTTTATATGCTCGTATGGAATGAAAATATGAAAATTTTCCGATGGGATGCGGTGTGAGGCGTGTGAGCCCTTTTCGAGGATATTTGAACTAGTGGTTATTAGAGGGTCCTGTTCAGGGCTGTCATCGTAAATTTAGAGCTGGTTACTTACTAATTTGTCATTTTTCTGCGCCCCCATCCAACTCAAACCAACTGACCGCTCGTTTTAAAGGTTGTAATTTAGGAATGTACACACAATTTAGTTCGAATTACAAATTGTCTGCAATCAGCTCGTCATAAAACATAAAAATACTATATTTCATGATATCGGCTTTTCAGTGAACGGTGGATCAAAACGCTACGATGTTTCATATCCAACGTTTCAGTTCTGCAATTAATTAATAAAACTGCTGTGAAGTTCTCTGATCTTCCTTTAAGTACATGGAACATTCCTGAAAGTAATGAAATAACCCAAAAATTTCAGAACTTCTCTGATGTTATTTGGATTTCCCTGAAGATCTCGGAACTGAAAAGACAAACCAGCCTTAATCTCAACGTCACTCTAATAAAGAAAATAATAATCCCGAAACTATTTGTTTGCTATGTGTGGTATTTAATGAAAACTTGTTATTCAATTATTATATGGATCTTTATTGTATGACTTCCTATCGCTCCGAGGGACGGTTGATCTAGACTCGATCGTTGGTTATGAAAGACTAACTGGTTTTTAATATTGTAAATGCTAGGCCTACTGAGCTGTCGGTTCAACATTCACCACATCTTCCTTTTTGACGTAGAACGTCTTTGTCGACTATACTGGGGTGCAAGCATGTGTGGTGAAGGAGTGTTAGGTTTTGAACGCTTGTAACTTTGTCATTTATAGATGAAATTAAAATCCAAATACGCCAATCGATAGGATATTACATAAAAAACCTGTTGAAATAAATATTTTTCCAATTTTTCTGTATTTAAACTTTTGAAAATGTACAAATGATAATTTTATCACTGATTTAATGAAATAAGCCTTTTTCCCAAACCCAGTCATCATAAACGAATACCACTTGGTTGCACATCATTCTGCTTGAACCTGAAAAGATATAAATCAGCGCTGCTCTCATGCCACTGCTCATCATTCGCTGCCAGACTGTTGAGCAGTTCAGTCGATTTGAATTCTCTCTAGTTTCGTTCGTTCGTTCGCAAGTCGAATTAGCTCCGCGTTGTGTAGTGACGCTCTCGCTGACCCAGCCATGGGTAAGAAATCGCGCGGTAACGCGAGTGCCGGTTTACCGGGAAAACAGACTCTCCCAGGAGACGGCGCGGCCACCGAGCCAGCCCAGAAGAAGCAGAAGAAAACCCCATTGCCCATCCCGACAGGCGTTGCGGACCCGCAGCCGGGGCCTCCCGGAACTAAACGACCCAGACCTGAAGACAGCAGCGCCACCGTATCAGCAGCAAAAAAGCTGCTGAGCAACAATCCGTTCTCCGCCCTGCAGAACGGAGCGCAGCCGCAGTCGGACCCTGAGACGGTGCCGAAAAAAGTTAAGTTGCCACCCTTCTATGTGAAGGGCTTCCCTCCCGGGCTATGGGAGCAGCTGGATTTCTACATTAAGCAGGGCCTTCGCTGCACCATTCAACGGTGCACGGAAGGCTACAAACTGATGGTCTCGGCCGAAAATCACTACAACGCAGTCCAGGCCCTCTTGGACAGGATGAAGCTGGAGTACTTCTCCCACGACGTCGAGGCCACCAAGCCGCTGAAAGTGGTGCTGCGCGGGCTCCACGACATGGACACCACCACCTTAATGGACGAGATTAAGGCGAACGGCCTCAAGCCGGTCGAAATCCACAAGATGACCCGCAGCAAGGCCATCAAGTATCGTGACCAGCTCTACTTGGTCCATCTGCAGAAGAACTCCACAACCGTGAAGGATCTCCATACGACACGCACACTGTTCCACATCGTAGTGAAGTGGGAGCGGTATAAGCCAACCCACCGTGGCGTCACTCAGTGCTCGAACTGCTTATTGTTCGGGCACGGCACCAGGAACTGCCGCATGGCCAGCCGCTGCATCAAATGCGGCAAAAACCACAAGATCGACGACTGCGACAGCATCGAGGAAGCCGCTCCCACATGCGCCAACTGCGGTGCTGCCCACAAGGCCACGAGTAAGGCCTGTCCGAAGCGGGCCGAATACGCCGAGATCCGGAAGAAGGCCTCGTCCAACAACCAGCCCGGTCGCAAGAAGGTCCCGGAAAACAACGCGCAGAACTTTCCTCCGTTATCACCGGTCCAGCCACGGCCAATTCCAGTGTTGGTGCCGCTCCCGCTCAACCAACAGTTGGCTGCTGCCCAGTCGGCTGCCGCTGCAGTACCCAGTCAAGCCTCCGGCCCATCGACGGATCCCCCTGCTCCGGGATTGGCCGGTACAACCGGTGAAGCTACAGACGATTCTCCGCTGTCAACGGATGAGATCGTCACACTGTTGGCCCAGGCCATCATCATCAAGCGCACCTGCGCAACAAGAACACAACAGCTCCAAGCTATCATCTCCTTCGTCGCTAATTATGGACCGTGAACCCATAAAGATCGCCAACTGGAACGCTTGCTCCGTAGGGGCGAAAAACATTGAGCTTGCAGACTTCCTCCGCAAGCACGACATCGACGTGGGCCTTCTCACCGAGACCCACCTCAAGACCGGTGACAGCTTCTGGCTGCCCGACCACAGCATTGTCCGGCTTGATCGCACCAGCTCCACGGGGGGCGGTGTCGCGGTCATCATCAAGAAAGGCATCAAGTACTGCACCCTACCCCACTACCGCACTTCCATCATCGAGGCCGTCGGCGTTGAGGTGGAAACATCGACCGGAAACGTCCGGTTCATCGTTGTCTACTGCCCCCGGCAATGTACCGTTAGCAATGGTACAGCACAGCAGTTCAAGAACGACCTTGCCATCATAACCCACACCAATGCCCGCTTTGTAATCGGAGGGGACCTGAACGCCCGGCACGAGGCCTGGCGGAACTACCAGCAGAACCAGAACGGCCGCCTGCTATTCGACCATTCCCAGCATGGTCTCTATTCCGTCTGGTTTCCGGACGAACCAACCTTCACATCACCGACGGGCAACCCATCGACGCTGGACCTGTTCTTGGCAAACACCAGATTAGCCAAGCCGGTTGCCGTCAACGACCTGAGTTCGGACCACCAACCGGTGCTGACCGAGCTGGGCTACAACGTGGCCCCTGCACCGTGCCAGCGGAAGGACTACCATCGAGTCAACTGGGTCCAGTTTCGACGCGTGGTCGACCGCCACATCGACGACAACCCACCGCTCGATACAGTGGAGGACATCGACCGGGCCCTGGAGGGTCTCCATCAAGCCATATCCGTGGCTGACGAAGAGTGCGTTCGACGAGTTCCTGTGAGGGGTAAGTTTCAAGCAATTGATTCCCACACCAAACTCTTGATTCGGCTCAGAAATGTTCGTAGACGCCAGTTTCAGCGGACTGGGGATCTGCAGCGTAAATACAAAATGGTCGATCAGAATCGGCAGATCGCTTCCAGAATGGTCTCAATCCGGAACGAGAGTTTCGGGCGGCTCGTTCAGAACCTGGACGACCGTTCCAGACCATTCTGGAAGGTTGCCAAGGTGCTGAAGTCTCACCCCAAGCCCATTCCACCACTTAGAGTCAATGACGAACGGCTTATCACCAACGAAGAGAAGGCCAATGCAATTGGGGAGCACATTGCCCAGTCGCATTTGCTTGGCTCTACAATCCCAAGTCCACTCGAGAACCAGGTTGTGCAGTGCGTCCAGACGTTAGATGCCTCCCCTTGTGCCGTCCCTCCAGAAGAACGGATTACAGAGGAACAAATTTGCTCAGCACAGTAAGAACATGAAGGCTCCCGGGTTTGACGGAATATTCAACCTAGAGTTGAAAAATCTCAGCGCGAGGGTGCACTCGCTGCTGGCTGCCATCCTCAACAGATGCTTGGAGCTGCACTACTTTCCAAGCATCTGGAAGGTGGCAAAAATCATCCCGATCCGCAAACCTGGGAAAGACCCTTCACTACCGTCAAGCTACAGACCGATTAGCCTGCTCTCAGCGCTGAGCAAGCTGTTCGAAAAATTGATCCTCAGCCGACTAAACAAGTTTGTGGAGGAACATGACATTCTTCTTCCGGAACAGTTCGGGTTCCGCAAGGGGCATTCCACCAATCATCAGCTAGTGCGGGTGATGAATAACATCCGAAGTAACAAAGCTGTATCCAAGTCCACAGCCATGGCCTTGTTAGACGTCGAAAAGGCGTTTGACAATGTCTGGCACGACGGACTTATATACAAGCTTTGTAACTCCAACTTTCCACCATACCTTGTGAAAATCACCCGTAACTATCTCCAGCAAAGGTCGTTCAGGGTGTCGTTGAATAGTTCCCTTTCGGGACAATTTCCGATCCCAGCAGGTGTTCCGCAAGGGAGTCTGCTGGGACCACTGCTTTACAGCATCTACACGTCGGACATCCCTCCTCTAGGAGACGGTTGCGTGTTCTTTCTGTTTGCAGATGACACCGCAATAGCCGTCAAGGGTAGGATGCCTCGTGAAATTACGAACAAGCTCCAACGATGCCTTGACACCTTTACTGATTATGCCACCACGTGGAAAATCAAAATCAACGCCTCGAAAACCCAAGCAATCATGTTCCTTCACAGACAATCGCCAAAACTTAAACCGTCTCCCTCCTGTACCGTAATAATGGATGGTACAAGGGTCGAGTGGTCCACTGATGTTACTTATCTCGGGATGTTGTTCGATGAGAAGCTCCTGTTCCGCTCGCACATAGAGAAAA